AACTCAAGAGTCGTACAGTATTACACTTGTAAGTGCAGTACCATGGTGTCCTACAGTTGAAAGTGTAGGACCAAGGTGTACTGCAGTTAAAAGTGAAGGAGACGATGTGTCCTACAGTTAAAAGTGTAGGGCACAATGTGTACTACAGTTGTAACTGTAGGACAAGGGGTGTCCGACACTTGGGTTAGCTGGTACCTTGAGGTGTCGGACACCGCTGTAACTGTAGGACACCATGATACTGCACTTATAAGTGTGATACTGTACGACACTTGAGTTTCCAGAGTACAGAAATTCCATAACGAAGCCACACAGCTCCATGGTACCACGGGGAGCTGCGGTACTTGACCCTCGTAAAAAGGGAAATGGTTACTCCACTCAATAAGGTCGATTGAAACACTTGCAGCTTGCAGTGGCGCCGCGTTTAGAAGGGCAGTCTTCTGCAGCTCGACCAGTCACTCAGTGATTTTGTGGTTGGGGGCCGCCGCAGCCAGGCCCGACCACGTGTGTGCGGGGAGAGGGAGGGGGGGGGAGGTGCCTGGAGAGGGTACTGTTACTTTTCATCTGACGAAGCTCATCACCTCTCTTTCTCTCTCTCTCTGCCACATATGCCAGGCGGAACGGATGCCCCTCCCCCTCTATCTCTCTCTGCCTCTCTTTCCGTCCCTGACGGTGCCCCTGGCGGCGGCTTCGAGCGGCCGGCCAGTGGACGGGCACACGGACCCGCCGAAGGACGCGCTGCACTCGCGCTGCTCGCCGCGGCTCAGTCGAGCACCGCCGCCCCAAGGACGCTCAGCACCCCGCGCTCAGCACCCCGCGCTCAGCACCCCGCGCTCAGCAGCCCCGCGCTCAGCACCCTCCACTGCACGGTATTGCGGCCACCCTTCGGAGGAGGTGGGGGAGGAGGAGACCGCCGAGGACGCGCGCCTTGACGCCTCGCCTAGTCAACATGGAGGTAAGCGAGGACGACGTCGTAGTGGAGAGCTTGGAGAAAGAGTGCCTGGGCTGCTACTCTGTCTGGCCCGGATCGGCAGGAGGCCAGGCCAGGCCGCGTCGGCACCCGGAACACAACCCGCTTGCGGCGCCGGACTCGCAGACGCCACGCCACGCCACGCTGCGCAGGCGCGCGCTGTGCAACAGTCCGGTAGTCCGGCCCGCTCCTCGGACGTGACAGACCCAATATGTGATGCAGCGCAGCCGCCGGAGCGTGTGTCAACAACCAGTCCACGCGGGGCAGTCCCTCTCCGGGATGGCTTCCGGGCCCGGGGACGTCACCCGTTTGACAGAGAGCGCCATCTGTGGAACCTTCGCGGACAGGAAGATCAGATAACCCCAGAACCGTCTTGAATACTGCTAGAGTGTTACGATCCCCGTTGTCACCTTGCGGTGCAGACCCAAAGGGTTCGGCTTGCGATCCCAGTGTAAGCGTGATTGATGTTTCGCAGCCAGCCGGCAAGCTGAATTATCTTGAATCAGTCTGGATTATTTCTATGTTTAATCTAATTGTAATTTAAATTGAATCGATATTCGGTGTACTCTCCCTACAATGAACACTCATTGGCGGGTGGCGCGAGAGCAAGTTGGGCCTCGAAGGGATCGTCATGAAAGTACGTCCGTTTTTCTCATATACATCCTGCAAACGACGGGCTCGACGCCTGCGAGACTCGGGGTAGACCACCCCACCGTACACGCATGCACTGTGCACAATATGTTGCCTACCTACCAGGTGCCGTGAGAGCTTACAGGAGCTGGACTTTGCAGGAACGTATCGTTGAAGGACGGATGTACTGGATGATCCCAAACGTCCCAAGCCTGCGCACTTTTTGGGTCTGGGTGAGCCGACGCTATCACAGCTGCTTTAGTGGGCTGGAGATTTGGAGTTTTAAGCAAGCATTAATGAATGTAAAATTTGTGCATAGTTACGTACGATTTGAACATTACTCTGCACATATATCGTGCATACTACTTATGGCTGTACAAAATTCTGCATCTTTTTGCACATACATAACGCTTTAGTTTTATGACTATACAAAACATGCTGTTATTAAATAGTTTTCGGGTATGACAGTCTAAATGCTGTTGTTATCATGGGTTGTCGCCTTCTCCTCGGCTCGGCGCTAGGGTTGAGCCTGGTGCCAGAACTCGTTTAACGTGACCCTACATTCCAATGAGTCGTCGAGGCGTCGGAGAGATGCTCGCTTGAACCTCGTAAGCCACCGTTACGCGTCTTGCCCGGCGTCCCCCGCCACACCCCGCCCCGCCCCGCCCTATGTCCCACTTGGCGGTCACGCGGTCACTCGGTCGCCGCGGCGTCCTCCCGCGTGGCTACCGGCGCCGCGGTCGTCACGGTGGTGCGCTAAGGTCAACACAAAACGCTGAAAGGAGGACCCTGCCCTCTGCCCGTAAAAGTATGTGAACTCTTGGCGTGGCGCAGCAGAGCGGCTTCGTCACGTCCGCTTGGAAACAAAGCCGTATCGCGTCCCGTTCTTAGACTTGAATAGCCTTGTGCTGCTCGACATGTCGTCCACTCCGTACTGCGCCCGCCCGAAATACATTTAAGACTCTACGTACGCAGTCAGGACGGAAGTGCCTGCGGGCTGCGGGGCGAGGGGCGGGCGCCGGGCAGAGGCCTGCCGGGGAAGCACGGCGGAGACACCTAGTCATTTGAACACGGTGAGAGAAAACACGCCGTTACCCGAACCAGCTGGCGGCGCGGGGCGGCAGTCTTTCTCTTCGACCCCGCAGTAAGGACGGACGTAAAACCTCCGATAGGCGTTGGGACTCATACCCATGAGCACGCGTGAACACTACGTCTCCTCCTCGTGCACTGACGTCATGCTCGTGCTCAGGAAGCACGGGTAGTAGTTAGATCCTGCTCCAGCTCCTCCAGCCCCTCTAGACCCTCGAGCTCCTCCAGCTCTTCAGCTCCTCCAGCCCTTCCAGCTCCATCCTGCTTCTCCAACTCCTTCAGCACACTGCTCCTGCTCATTCAGCGCCTGCAGCTCCTGCGCTCCTGCACGAAAAAAAAAAAAAGAATTAGCTAAATTAGCTAATGCATTCGCTAATATGGCATTAGATTAGCAAAAAGAGCTAATAAATTATTGACATTGACAGTTGTGTACACAATAAAGCAACTAGCTGTGAAAGCTCATATGTTAGCTCTCTTACCTAAGAATTAGCTAGGAGAGCTAATATTCTAATCAAAGGCCATGTTAAGGAATGCATTAGCGAATTTAACTAATTCCTTTTTTTTTCGTGTGCAGCTTCTGTGTTGGTGCACCTGCGCCTCTTTTGCCTCCGCCTAATGCTCTGACGTTGTGCCGCAGGTCCACCAGCGCCCCGCCAGGCTCCTCCAGCTCGCAGCCGTCGCCCTGGCAGCCCTGGCCGCCCTCCTTCACATCGCGGCGGCGGAGAAATACCAGGCCCGTGAGTAGCCTCGCCTCGCCAATCGGTTATCATTACGGCGGAGCAGGACACGGGCAGGACGGGCCGGGGGAAGGCCCAGGTGGGAGCGGTGGGTGAAAGCGTCCCGGAATCACTCGGGATCGGAAGCGGGTCCAAAGTCCGCTCCGCTTCTTTCGCGACGGACTGAACAATGGACATGGCATGTGTCGTGTTTCCCCGGGACTGCTCTTCCCGGCGTGTCACTACCGCTGACTACAGTTAGTTCCGCGACCTGAACGGTCCCTCCGGCATGGTCCTACATACCCACCCACCCCAACGGGCGCCGTGCAAAATAGTCTGCGTCACTGTCGTAATTTTTGTCCTGATTTTATTTTAGAAGAGACTTTTCTAACCTGCTACTTAATACGGTTGAAATTTTCATTCAGACTCCCTTTGAGTTTGGAGCACGACGCTGTCCGCACAGCGGTCCGCAGGGCCGGTGGCGCTCGCCAGCTGCCCGCTGTGCTCACGAGCCTTTTGATACGCAGGGCCACTGAGGCTCATGTGTGCTTCCGGGCCCTGCCCAAAAGTCAGGGGCGTAACGGCGACGGGGAGCGCGGGCTCGTACGAGTTAGTTACGCCTGTGCACCGTTAAAAACATGGCCGGCACCGTAACTTTTGGGCACACTCACACTCTTCAGAGTGATCTGCTTTTTGGTCACGATGTGAAACTATACATGTTCGTGAGAAATCCACTCTCTGCCCTCGACGGCAAAAACTGCGACTTGCCGGAGTCCGAACATTAGCAGCCACTGCTCGCCGAAGAGCCCTTCTCCTCCAGAACAAAAAAACACAGCGGTGCACTCGCAGCTGCCGCAGCTGCTGCCTCTGTTGCGTCACTCACCGTGCATTCTGCTGTTGGCAGCGTACTTCATTCATCAATGCCAGCGGTCGGACCCCGAGCTCAACAAATGCCTGCAGTTCGCCGCCAACACGCTCGTCAGGCACTTTCGAAGTGGTGAGTCCTGCTGATGTGAGCTGCGCCGAGCTGCGTCCCGCCGCCTAGCGGTAGGCCACCCATCGGGCGGCTCACAGCACCGTTACCGAGAGCGTCGCTCACAATTTAAATATGGAGGGTATAACACTCATCTCCTGGCAGGCATACCGGAGCTCGAAGTCACGGAGGTCGAGCCGATCCAGATCGAGGAGATCCACCTGGCGCTGGGCAGCGGTCCCGATGGGTACCGGGCCATCTTCAGGGAGGTTGAGGCGTTCGGCGTCAGCAACATGACCGTCAGCGGCGTCAGGTGAGTGTGTCAGTTCCGGTCAGTTCAGCAACCTATGGCCTGAAATGTAAACATAATCGAACCATACCCCTAAGTAACCAGAGGAGAAATTTGTCAATTGCGCAAGACAAATTAATCTATAGAGGGCTGAGCTTGCACGCTCTGCGCACTGTTCTCTCTACAAATGTTGGTTTCCTCCCGCAGGTCGAACCTCGACTCAATGGAGTTCCAGTTCAGCTTCTACATCCCCCACATCAGGGCGCGTGCGCAGTACAGGTCGTCTGGAGTGCTCATCATGGTGCAGGCTTCTGGGGGCGGCGACTACTGGGGAGAATACGGTGAGCCCTGAGGGGGTACGGAGTCATCAGTGAGCTCCGGGCGAGTGCAGTGGCTCACGCTCGTGCGGGTAGTGTGGAGTGGGAGTTTCGCGTCTCGAATGCTGCGCGGCGAAAAGGAGCTGCTGTGCGACGGTATGTGGACGGCCATGGGAAGAAGAGGAATGTCCACCGGAATGGTTTTCAAATACTAGCGCGCGACACTGGTCGTCTTCTCCCGTCCATCCTGTTTACACACACGGTTTACGTTGTATGTGAGGGGAAGGGACCAGATAATATCGGGGGGCGGGGGGGCGTGAAGTCACGTACCAAAACAACATCGCGTGTTGTTTAATTTTTCATACCGTATTGTGGGGGCGTTGTTCTCCAGCTCATTCCGAATCGCATAATGCCAAAAGAGGGACCCCGCTTGCTCAAAGAATAGTGAAAACTCTCGAGGTCATTGTTTGGGGACCAAACAAACATCTCAGAGACGTATAAGCGAAGCACTATAACCAAACCACCGTGGCTCCTAAAATTTTCGTCAAGGAACAACCAGAACAACCCACAGAAAAAAGACATCTAAAAGAGGTCCCAAATCTACGGATAAATGAAAGATAATCTTATATACACACTTATAGAAATACCATGTAACGATAAAAGCGGTTTCATTTTAGTGTGGCGGTGAGCGCTTCTTGACCCGAAACATAGACGCCGACCAACGAGATTTAACGTTTTTCTCCTGAAATAACTGTTGCTCTGAGCGAACAAAAGAAACACATTCCCCTTTCTCTTCCAGAGGGCGTCCGCGCCAAGGTGTACTTCAAGGCGCGCAAAGAGGAGGCCAACGACCTGACCTACCTGCAGGTGGACGACATCAAGATGGACTTCAGCGTCAAGGACATCAAGATGGGCATCAAGAGCCAGCAGGACAACGCCATCATCGGTGAGTGCCGTCAATCATCTGATGCAATTCTGCGGTGTACCGGATGACCGCTGTGCACCGGGTGACCCACCGTGCACAGGGTGGCCACCGTGCCCCCGGGATGACCCCTGATAATTGTACAATTGTTGCAGAGGCGGCACTCAACCTCTTTATCAACACCAACGGCCAAGAGCTGCTCAAGGAGATGAAGCCCTCCATAAAGAAACACCTGCTCGTGACCATGAGGACCTTCATCAACAACTTGTTCGGCAGGGTACCATACGAGTACTGGATCCTGGAAGACGACAAGTAAAGGGTTGGTCGAAACCAACGGAATCGACGAATTAATTTTCGGTTCAACAACAATTTTTTGTGATTTTTTGACGTAGCGGGTGATTTAAGCGGCGGGTTGTCATGCGCCATTTCTTACTGGATTGCAACTCGCTGTTGACGTCAAAGAACCACAACACTGCTGAACTCGGCTGTATTCTGACCACGAATAATTGCGTTATACGAAAAGGACTATGAGACAGTATGCCTGATTGAGTATTATAGACTGCTCCGGGAAACGCGCATGTATACTTTTTTGTAATGCGCGTTTCTGTTGTTGTTAATGTTATTTATCAAAGTGCAAAATAAAAATCTTGCGTTGTTATGAAAGTCGACCACGCCACGCACGCCACCCTGCCATATCTGCCGCGCTCGGCTCACGTACAGGCGAGGATCCTCGCACCTCGTAAAGCCTCCAAGGGTCCCGGCGGGGCCCGTCCCCCGTGCGTCACTCTGCGCGCCGGCGGCGTCGACCGCGACTACTTTGCACGGTCGCTGTAACCGCGCCGGTGCAGGCGCGTCCAGGCCCGCTCTAACGCCCGCTCTAGCGCCCGCTCTAGCGTGCCCATATAAACACGTCTGGGGTCAGCGCCTGCGGCCCGGGGGCCAGGGGGTGACCCGGGGCGGGCTGCGGCCGGACGGGCTCGCGGCGCTAGCGCGCACAGCTGCGGCGGGGCCCCGGCGGCCCGCACATGGACAGCACCAACCTTGACACAGTGTGGCAGGACTTTGCAGACGCACACTGCACCGCGCCACGCACCACACCGCCATTCGCGCGCCGCCCTCAAAGAGATTTGTCAGCTGTCTACGCAAAAAAGGGCGGTGGGGAGGGAAACCTTTTTGCCCTTGTCATGCTATAATTGCATGATTTCCGCGCGTCTTCCAGCGCAGGCGGTGTATAACGCTTACGTCACACGGCAATGCCCATTACAGTATCTCGATGCAGGAGGGTCAAGTTGAGAAGCGGTGCAGTGAGGGGCAATCATCATGCAGCCAGACCACAGCGCAGGGGTGCCTCGGCCTGTGGTCCAGGGGGCCGCTCACCACACCGAGTTGAGTTGCACAGCTGCCCTGGTTAGCCTCTGGTGCCCCGCTTCAAGGACACAACTATTTTGCATCTTGCTGAAACAGAAAGAAAAGTGTTTCATGAAACACTCAAGTTTATGAGAATGCCGCGTACTTTCGATGAAGGTTTTGCTACGAGCGTTGTGCCGCGCTGGTTTTAAATGTCACACACAATCCAACACAAGTGGTAGACATTGAATGAGCCTTCGTATTGCTTTCCCCCACAACCGAACACAAAGAAAACAGTCGAACATAGATGTTTCGCCCTTCTGAAATAAGAACACGAGACTTGCGCGGGTTCCCGCAGTCGTTACTCTGTCTGGAGATAAGCTCTGCGCAGCACTTTGCACACCCGCGGTGGGAGTTGACCTGTCGTGCTGACTACCCGGGCGGCTGCAGGGTAGGCAACCGCATATCGCACGGGCGCTCGTGTGCGCGGCGAGATGGCCTATGCATGCAGGGGGCCACGACTCGCAGTCCAACAAACGCAGCATAGAATTGAGCGGCTTCGATCGGCGTCGCACGCTGTACAAGAAGTTACATATCTTTAATTAATGCTCCACTCAGATTGTAGACCGCTTGGCCTCTCAGTCGAGGGCTATGCTTGTAGCCCTTCCTCAGGCGGCAGCCCTCAGCCGGCAGCCCTCGGGCCCTCAGGCGGCAGCCCTCAGACGGCAGTGCCTGGCTGCGCTTGTCTTTCCGCGGGCGTACTGCGGGGACGCGCTGGAGGCTCGGGCGGACGTGGTCACTGGAAGCCGGCCAGGGACGGTGGGGCGTGAGCGACCGGCCGGTGTCCGAACCTCCTCTCTCACATGTGTCCGGGGAGCTGCAAACACAGTTTTGGCTCTTCATTACAGTTTCCCAATGACTTTGCACCAAAACTTAAATATATTGCCGCCGACTGTTGCCGGTCTACATTCCTTGGTAATGATGAACGGGAAGAAACACAAAACACAATCCAGGGAGACTTGCTTGGCTCCGCGCTGTGCCTCGCCTCGCCGGGCTACTCAACATGACACACACATCGGGCCGCGTGGACTTTCAATGTCAAGTGCCTCTGTTTGCCTCCGAGAGCGCGAATGCGCCCCTCCCGCCCCACTCCGTCGTCCTCCCCCGCCCCCTGGCCGGTGTACTGCCC